CAGAGCTCAGTTTGTTGGTTCCACCCAGGAAGAATTTTCCAAATCTTCTTTGGTAATACTGAACCGCTTATTCTGCCATCGACTCTGGTTTGGTGTAAATAAATTAAATCATGAAAAGGAGGAAGCTGAAAGACGACAAGAGAAGACACTGAAACACACTTGTGTCATAATTTATAATATAATTTATAATAATTTATAGAAAACGAACATGTTTTAGAAGAAGTCATATGATTGTGGTTTTATATGTATGTAAATAATATGTGAATAAGGATTGTGTGCCGCATCTCTCTTGTTGTGTGTTCAGTCTGAATTAAGTGTTCTCTTCCTACAACAACCTGTTTTCTTTGATTCCGCCTAGTTACTGATGACGTAGAGCAAATGCTGGATTGTGATTGGTCAGAATCGAGTTGTAGCAGCACATTGAAGTCAGCGGTCCTCCTTCTTCTCCCTCAGTCGGCGTTTGATCCTTGAAGAGAAAGTGAAACCTTAAAAACAAACGGACGTTAAAATGCGACTTGTCGGGGCGGAGATCTCGGTTCTGGCTCTCCTGATGATGAGCCTTCACGGCGCTGCAGCACGTGAGTTGACGCTTTGTTTAATGAGGTGTTTGATTGTAGAAGAAGAGACGCTTCGTGTCTTCATAGGCCGCAGACATCAGCTGAAGTGTCTCTGATGTCTCTGATGTTTAGCTCAGGACTCTCTCGATGACGACAGACAAAGTTGTAAAAAGTAACACATGTTGTCAAAGTGCGCGCGTGTTTCCTCTCGTGAGTTTGTGTGAAGGACAGAAGCGTGTTTGTCTCACTCTGCTGTCTCTGTCTTCGGGACATTAAACGGACGGATCGCTCTTGAAGCGGACATGGCAGCATGACGTAGCGCGGCAGATCACTGATGACGTCACACTGATGCTGATGAATCAGTCATCAATATTACTTGTAGATATTATCTTATTGCAGATATATTGGTGTTTACATGTTGTCTGATGAGTGAGAAGAAAGACAAGTGAAGAAATGTCAAACTCAGTCTGAGCTCATTAATAAACCGGAAGAGCAAAAGTTGATTTTAAACTCTTAGTTTGTATCTCGTTTACTAAAAACAACAACTTATCAATCTGAATCCAGTGAGTTTAGGTCATGTGTTTATATTAAAAATACTATCAGCTGAAATATTTAATATTCAGACTATATTAATCAGAATCAGCCTCAAACGTCCAGCATCTCTCTGCAGTATTTGATGTATTAACAGGAAATATATTTATTCTCGGACAGATTTACAAAACATTTTAGTGACCAGTGCTGAAATAAAAACTCATAAATATGAATTCAGACACAGAGGACATGAAGATTGTGAAACATTTTTACTGTGCTGATCATTTTAAATAATATTCTAATCTTCTTGGATTCTATTCATCCACCTGATACCGATAGAAACTAAAATAGATACAGATTTAATATAGTTTCTTAAATATAATGCTGTGTCCATCTGTTTATACTTTAGTTTTTCACAAAGATATTTACTATTAACTATATATTATAGTTCAACTTAAATATAGAGATAAACAAGAAACTGGTCAGATTAGTTTCTTGTTTGTAAATGGTTGAATGAAAAAAGGAAAATCCTTCTACTCAAACAATTTAAATCTTAACAATCTCAACAACAAAATGAATACGTTTTGATTTGAAAAAAAAAAATGTTAACAGCAATTAAAAGATCAAATAAATGACCTTTGAACTTGTTTGTGTCTCCACTTCTCTTCAAGAAACTCAGATTTCAAAGTTATTGTTTAAAACCTCACAAGACGAAACGTCTGAGGTCACAATTTATGACATAAAACAGTTTGATTTGATACGATCAAATCAAATGTCAATATAAGGAACATTATACAATAATAAGAAATCTGGTTTTACAAACTGATTTCTATGCGTAAAAGTCAGAAACACAAAATGATGATCTGAATATGTGAATTGTTTAATATTTCATTTTAGAATATAATGTTTTTAAAAGCTGAAACATCATAAATATCAAAGTAAACATTTATTTCTGTATTTATTGAGTTGTTAAACACAGCAGATGTTATCAGGGTGTCTTTGATGTTCTGTGTTTCTTTTTAATTCAGTTTGCAGGAAAACATCATAATTATTGATTAATTAAAGTGTGACATCAGAACTGATGATGATTCCTTTTTGGTTCCAGTGACTCACTCAATGAAGTATTTCTACACTGCGTCCTCTGGAGTCCCAAACTTCCCAGAGTTTGTGGCTGTGGGGCTGCTGGATGAAGTTGAGTTTAGTCACTATGACAGTAACACCAGGAGAACAGAACCCAGACAGGACTGGATGATCAGACTCACAGAGGATGATCCTCAGTACTGGAAGAGAAGCACTGAGATCTTTATGGGCAACCAGCAGGTCTTCAAAGGCACATTGAAACAGCAAAACAACGCTTCAACCAAACTGGAGGTTTGTTTATGTTTCACACTTGTTGTTTATATTTGCATCCTTTATGTTATTAGTACGTAAACACACACACACACACACACACACAGTAAATTAAACAGTCTGAGATCTTTTCTTGACTGAAACATTTTCTGCTTCCAGTTCCTAAATATAAGTATATAAACACAATGAATACTTTTCCGTGTTGTTCAGGATGAAGAAGATTTCCTCTCATCCTGATTAGAACTCCAGCTTAGATTAGATGAGCTTTACTTGAGCTCAGGGAGTCGATGCTTCAGAATTTCATTCCAGGTTTTATCAGATGACGTCCAACATGTTCTAGTTGAGGTTCCTCACTGAGACGATTTCTTCCTCTTGTCTGTTTGAAATGGTGATGAATGAAATACTGCTCAGTGTTGTTCACACTGAAGAAGCACTTCCAAGGTTTCATCAGCCTCTCTGACATTTTACAGTGTGAACAATTCATGGATTCATTAGAAATAGTTATTACATCATCTGCAAAGACAAGAATAATTAATTTGAGCCCAAAATCTGGAGTATGATACAGATGAGAGTTAATGAACTAAAGTGGACTGCAGTGAGTTTAGAACAAACATTCAGGATATTTAGTGTTGAAACAGTGAATCAATTAGTTGATGAACAGAAAATGAATCAACATGAATGTTGATAATCAGATGATGACTGAAGTCTTTTATCAAGCAAATATGTTTCTCTCTCTCTCTCTCTCTCTCTCTCTCTCTCTCTCTCTCTGTCTCTCTCTTTTGGAGTGGTCCGCATTTTTCCAGAGGATGACCGGCGGTGATAGGATGATGAGGCCAATGAGGTCAAGGGTTATTATCAGTTTGTTATGATGGAG